TTAATAAATTAAAAATTAAATTTTATTTTTAATATAAAATTTAAAAAGATATATATTTAACGCAAACCCATTTTATATGTACACGTAGATCATTAATGGTGGGACGGTGGTGGTTTCGAGCTACATAAGTACACAAGCTTTCCTGTTGGATGTCTAAGGTGCTGCCGCATTTGAATGGCTGTGATTCTAGGAGATGCCTATTTGTAGGGGATAAAAAGGAATGGTGTGTTGGCACGTGGAGAATTTGCAAGCTTTCCACAAAAGAATAATAAAAAAAGAAAAAGTGGCGGCGGGTTCCCAAATCATGAGGGAAGATTCCAGAACCTCATGGTCTCGAGTCATTAAGTGTAGACAACTGACAACGGCAAACATCTGGTTGGCTATACACCTACCGATCAAACAAGAGAAAACAAAAATCAAACAAACAAAGACCTTAAATATTTTTACTTTACCAAATTTTGATTGCATATTTCTCACAAAAAATTGTGTTTTACATAGGCGATGTGGGTGTCATTAAAATCGTTGTGTTTGGAGCTTTCTGTTTATATATTTTACGTAATTTTAGGGCTCGCGGTAAAAGAATTATTTGAGTTTAAAAGTTTGGAAAATGTGTTGGGTAAGTTTTCTGACAGTCTCTCCCTATGGTCAACCGCTTTTTTAAGATTATCCAATTGGTCGGTTGAAGACAATCTAGGAACTAGGATTCTGTTTTCTTGATATTACACTCGAGTACTTGCCTGACACACTTCCTTTATAAAGATGGCACGTTGTGATAACGTTTTTGGGAAAAAAAAACCTTCTTAAACCCTCATACTTATCCAAAAATAGTATTTAAGCCCCTAAACTAAAAATAAAACGAATAAACCCCCTAACTCTACTAAGTGTGCAGATAAATCCTTCTCACAAACAGGCCAAATGATATTTCATGTTTAATATTACCTTAAAAGCATGAACACCTATAAATGAAAAAGACTTTTTTGTATCATTAGTGGAGTTGCAAGACTTATTTGCTTTATTTTTAGTTTAAAAGCTTAAATATTATTTTGAAATAAGTTTGAGGGCTTAAGAAGAATTTTCCATGTTTTTAGGAAACGCCGCTTTTTCACCCCTTTTTTTTTTTTTAGAAAAAATAAATAGTTGCTCGTGTTGGTTTCTTTTGTTTCTTCGCTTTCACTAAATTTTTTATTGTTCTCTTCAACATTTCCATTTTTCTCGTCTCATCATTGGTCATGATCACCCTATAACGAAAATAGTTTCTTTACTAAATTTAAATTGAGCAATGCTAGGAGCACTCGCCATTTGCACTCTCCAACCAACACTTCCATTTTCATTGGGCCACGTTATGCTGGTTTAGGGAGAGTTGATCATTTCATAGCGGACGCAAGCTTATGTGGCCCAATAAAAAAGCATGTGTTGACTGGAGAGTGCAGGGGCGAGTGCCCCTAACACTGCTCATTTAAAATCAAATAAATTATTGGGCCAAGTTAATTTTTCTTGATATGACACTCGAGTACTTGCCTGACAGGGGCTGGGAGTTTGGTATTCACCACAATCAATTTTTGATTAACCGAACGATGCTTTTTCCCCCTTTCTTCCAGAGCAAAACCGATACCAGAGGTCCCTGCCTTCTTTGGTATCGGTTAAGAAAATTTTTAGTTTTACGATTTTGGTTTCGATATTCGCCGATTATTTAGCATGATGTTTTTCCAGAGGTGAAGGGAAAATTGAAGGAAGATGCTGAACTAAAAACTATGGGCTAAACTATGGACCGAAAGTCCCTTACTTCTTGTAAAGAATGAAATAATTGTTAACAGAAGCGAAATTAGTTTTTTTTTAAAAAAGGCCTTTAAAATTGCGTTTAAAAGAAAATTTGACAAATAAATTGGACAACTGATAACATAAAAAAATTGAACTATCCCTTGTTAGAATTTAAAAAGTATAAAACGGAATTGAAGAACTATCGATTATGAAATTTAATAATAAAATTATTTATATTCTTAACCACATTAATAATTAATCTCTAATTTCTAGGTATAAAAAAAAAAAAAAAAGACCTAAAGTAGTATTTAACTTCGACCAAAATAGCTCCTCTAAATGGAAATGAGTGTAACAGTTCAAAGGAGAGAATCTATTTCTTTTGTTGTAATTGTTGTTTTTACAATCATTACCGTCACCGCCCTGGTTTTGTTCCAAGAATTTGGAGCTTCTCTCACAGCACTTACCATCTGCCTGGTTTCAACACCAAGCACCATGGAAGAACGTGTAAGAAGTGACGCTAAAATTTTTGCCAAAAAGAAAATCCTTGCTAAAATCGTTTGCTCCTGCAACCGTTCTTGTTTCAACAAATCCCTTTTATTGGACCCGTGTAGGATTCTAAAATGCGACTCTATTATCAAAAATATTGGCAAAGTAATAGACTCCTGAAGTAGTTATCACGCTTGCTTGTGTCCTACATAAGAAATGCAAACAAAGCGACACCCAAAGACACAAACAATTTATGGAGCACACTTCAAATTGATCCTAAACACTGTTAATATTAAACAACAAATCAGATAGTACAAGTTAGTTAAGAGATTCTACAAGTCTAAAGGCATGGTGTCATGGGTATGAATGAAGCATACGAGGTAATGAAATTATCTCTGAGGATGTGTAAAACAATCACTCAGAACATATGGGGTTGAGTAACTATAAGATCTTTTTAATGGGCTGCCTGGCTTTGTTTCGAGAAAATTGATCTAAGCAGTCTCTCAGATGTTTATTCTTTATGAGCAGAATGGATCACAACTGAATGAAGTCAGCAAACTAACTGGCTACTAATTCCGTCCTTTGTATGGCATTTCCTGCAACAACAGTTTCAAGTCCATGGGAACCCTTAGATGCATTATTTTTTATATGTCAAAACAAAAAGTAACTCTCCAACAATGCTAGACAACATTTTTTTCCCTCTCCCCCAAAACCAAGAAGTAAAATTCACACTTGAGAAAAAGAACATTTTACATTTACAGAAAGACTTGTTTAGAAATTGTCATTTACTACAAGAAAAAATAGGAGTTCTCTCCAAGTATTGTGACAGATAAAAACTTTAGAAATACCAAGTAACATAAGATGGAAATGAACAAACAAGTTTATTCACAAATTCAATGCAACGTCAAAATACTTACAGGTGGGTAGCTTGGCATGTACACAACTTGCCTAGACTGCTCAAGAAACATTTGCTGCTGCCCATACTGGAATTAGAAGAGCACGGAATTAATGCAGGTCAAGATACCCAAATAATGATAGCAAAGTCAGCAATCAGGTTCTACCTGATGAGGTCCTTTTGGATGAATATATGCTTGTGGTGACTGCATTGGTGCCATTGCCTGGTTAAATATAAGAGGCTGGTGTGGAGCAAATGATGGTCCAATCTGCAAATTCCATGGGTCACCAGTAGCCATAAGCAAGAAGAAATGCCAGAACAGGACTCCAGATAATGCAACTAATTCTATTGGAACAAAATAAATTTTCATATTTAAGAACATACCCCAATGGCTTTACTGTATTATCATGATACACTAACATATAAATATTGCAGAGTCAAGCTTGAACCTCCAAAACCATGATGCATACCAAGTATCACAACTGATCAATTTAAGTCTATCCGGAAGGGTGCCTAAGCCTCCTAAACCATTGGAAATAAACAGATTGGACCAGCTATTCTATTCCCAGAAAATTAGCTCGGTCTGAAATGACTCCCGAGACAAACATTGATTGAGCCAGAGTTGCTCCTTTTCACCCAAAGTCTTATCACCCTTACATAGAAAATTTAGTTAAAAAGGGTCTAATCAACCTCATTTGAACCCCTTAGACAGCCATTTAACTCTATTATTAAATGTAAATGGAAGAGCAAAAGGGCATCCTATATTTCATGGTGTGCTTATTTCATCAGTAGGGTAGCCTAGAGGGGAAAACAGGACCCATTATAGAGTCACAGCAACAAAGGTACGTGGCAAACTTGCAAAAGACAAAGCATGAATGCCACTTGAAATAGTATCAAATGAAGTAAGGTGTGCTGCTGTGTGTGATAATCCAAGAGGGAGAAAGAAATGTACACAAGAAACCAACAATACTGAGAACAACTGTCACACAAGAAAGCAGCAGCAATTGATCTAAAATGTCACCACCAAAGTGTACCTCAAAAAAGATGATTTTCTAAAATTATCAGGAAAACATTTTTAAATTAAATAAAAGCCCAATCCACAAGCATGGCTGACAGACTGACAGAATTATATATCTAATAAAAAATATGAGGGGAAAAAAAGTGTTGTGACAATCTAGTTGTATACTTGTATAGAAACACTTACCCCAAAACCAAAAGGCATGCCATGGATATGCGTTACAGGAGACACATTGGGTGGATAATAAAAGGAACCATCTGATACTGGTGATCGAAGCCTAACAGTTGTTTGTGATGGGGTGAAACTCTTTGCATTAGGATTGAGTTTGAATTCCTGATAGCCATTTAACATGCAGTAGACATGTTAGGAGGTCAACAAGTAAAGCAACAAAACAAGTTAAAACATTGATGACAAAGTGTGCATGTTTATCCTGAAATCAGCTGATGCAAGATGAAAATAAAAAAATTAGTATCATCATACCTTTGCATGGGGATTTAGGGTTGACTTTTCAGAGGATAATGAACCAACTGATGAGCTTGGAGATAAGCCAGGATGACTGAAAGCTGAGGCAGCAGCAGCACCAACATGATCTGAATTGGATGACGTAGAACTACCTTCTTGTCCACGAGAATTTACTAACTGCACTTCCCCAGGCACTTTGCTAGATGCAGGGTCTTCTGAGACTTCATTCAGACTCAGTTTTTCACCATCCTTTGATGAAGCATGCACCACAGCAGAAGTAGTTGTGTTTGCAGATAGCTCTACTTTATTGCAGCTGTTAGTCTTGTCAATTAATAATGATTGAGAATCTGCATTAGAAATTGCTCCACAGTCACCATCCATAAGCACGTGTATTGCATTTTATCTTAATGACTAGCTGCAAGAAAATAGGCTCTACTGCATTTTCAATGGCTATCAACTACTAGTTAGCATTAAAAGAAAAAAGAGAACTCACCCATAGGGATTGACAAGTCAGGATCCTTAGTTAACTGCATTGATATAAATACAAATTCGAAGAAATAACATGGATGTTAGAATTAAATAGACTGAAAGCAATGACTAAGTGAATTCCAGCTTCTGGAAGAAGTGAAATGGTGCTAGGAGTTTAACTTACCGATTGATTTTCTACAGAATCTTTAGGATCACTACTTCCTTCAAAATCATCAGGCAAATTGTCCTGGATCCTACAATTTCAAGTATTCCAGAGTAGAAAAGAAGAATGGCTAAGTAATATAATATTTTCAAGGAAACCATTGTGATATTAGTTACATATTAACTACATGCAATATCATTTCAATTTGTTGGAGATAATTATTTAAAGCATAATAAGAAAATATATATCATTTAAGCACATTCATGGGGAAAATGCAAAAATAGGCACCTGCTTTCACTGTTAGAGGAACTTCTAAAAGGAACTTCAGACACCAGCTGTCTAGCAAGATCATTAGAGCCAGACAGGTTTATATCCACAACACTTGTAGATTGTGAAGATGGTGTCTCATCCTGCAAAGCCACCAAAAATGAGTAACTTATTGAAGATAAAAATCACAAGAACAAACACACGTCCAAATATTTTATGTTACCATTTGTACAAACCATAAACTAAGCCCATCAAGAATCATAATGTAGCATGAGATAACCTCTTCAGGAACACCACCACCCCCCCCCCCCCCCTCTTCCCTCTCTTGAAATTGCTATTCCTCTTATACCACTAGAAAGACCAATATTTCTGACAATTGTTTCTTACTTTCAGTTAAGGCTAAATGCAGGCAGAATATGTCAACCATAACATCAGCAAGCCTCCAAATTCAATGCTACCATGTAAAACTACATAAGATCTTTTCCCCTCACATTAATATTTAATAGCAAGTTAAATAACAAAAATAAAAAAGATGAATAAGATAGTAATAGTAAGATTATAGGAGTAACCCTAAAGGTCATACTATCTACTACAAAGATAAATGGACATCACATATAGACAGTTGGCAGATTGACAAAGGATTTGCAACCATATTAATGACCAATAACAAGAAACATATGCATTTCACATGCTAAGGAAATATTAAATCTTCAATTTCAAAGGTAAATAACTACCATTAAGGAAGAGCTTGATGGCACAACTCTTTCACTGCATTTTAAACTGGTGAAATCTGTAGGCTTGTTACTAACAGAAGCAGATGCACCTCCAAAAGTTTCAATATTGTGTGAATCCAACACTATCTCCTCATCTTCTTCATATCCACTATCATCAACCCCTCTACTCCTGTATACTGAAGAAAATCTGGTCTCTTCATCAAGATCAAAATTATCGTGAAGATGAAGGCCTCTTTCCTGGTGACAAATAAAATAAGTAAAAGTGAGGAATTAGGTGGACAAAACCAACCAAGTAAAGCTCATGGAGATTTAAGGTGATGTTATCAAAAACCTACCTCGGCTAAATGCAGGTCCTGGGTATCTTCACCCTCAATCTCTCTGGCTATTCTCATTGCTTCCTTTTCCAACTCTCTCATCTGAGGACCTTTTTCAAGCCTCGTAGTATACAGTTCTTCATTGAAGGTACTTTTTACCCCAAAAAGAAGTTCATTTGTCTCAAACTGATTCCAGTTCCTAACAGTAAAATGACATGATTCAAACCAATAAAGTATGTATCCAACAAGAACGTTGGAAAAAACTCAATGGCCTATAAAGCGAAAAAAGAACTAAAATTCACCCAAAAAATTACTTCCAATGCAACTCACAGGATTGTCAACAAAGCCAGCTATCAACATTTAACTCTAAGACCATAAGCCTTGCTGCCTAACAGCAGCACCTAATTCAAGCCCCAACCACCCGCCACAAAACTTAGCCCAACTAGTTTTGAATTGGTCAGAAAGGAAACAACACCATATTACATAGTTGAACATGAAAGGGTAGGAATTTCCGCACACCACCAGGAATGATAGTCAGTAAAAAAGTTATTCACTGCATTTAAACACTATATATATGTTGAATTAAATAATTATACTCCAAGAACTCCTTCAAATAAGAACTGCAGGCAAACCTTAAATTCAAATTCCCAAATTTGATTAACCAAACAACATCAAGAGGGACATCAAACTCTCAATATAAAGGCTACCACAAAATAATATCAACAGTCATGTCCCATTAAATTGCTCCTCATGGAAAATCCTTTTTATTTTCCCTTTTCTGGAAATCTATAAATAAGAAAGGAAAAGGAAAGACAGTTAAACTAAGACACAATTTAATATCCAAATTAAAATGTTGCTCACCATTAAACAATTAAGATGCAAGCCTAATAAAGAAGATAAGGGAACAATTAGATCACAAACAGAGGATTTGCAAGAAAACATTAAAGGATTATAAAATAACAACCTATTCCCATGGCCATCAAATATATTTTCTAGTTCTGGATGCTGTGGATCATCTTCATCAGGAACCCAGGGTTCCAACTCTCTCTCCATCTCAACACGATGAGATTGTGATATTGCAGAGTCTGTCATAATTTCTTGCAGCTTTTCATGTCGGAGCTCACTTGCAAGGCCATCCTTAGTAACAGCAACATCCTGGAATTGTTGAGTAACCAACAGATTATTTAATTTGAATAATTGACTTGACACACACTCATGGCAAAGAAGCCTTGGAGAAAATAATTTATACTATGTTGCATAATTAGTAAATTTAATGTAATTTTTGGACCTACAGTTAATTAAATTATTTAGATTGTTTACTATTTGGTAGTTTTCTATTTCAAATATAATTAAATGGTAAGATAAACACACCACTGTGTCCCACAAGGCAAATGTTATGCTATATTTGAGTCTTATGAGTTAAGACAATAGATAAACAAGAATTAAGAATTGTTCTCCTCCTCATATATCCCTATTTTCCTCTCTTTCCTCTTCTCCTCCTAGCTCGCATCACTTCTTTATTCCAGTAAAATGATTCCTTATTGACCAACTGAAATACACTACACCAAGCTCATGAATCAATGGAGAGCTTAAAATTTACTTCATTCAGTAACAAAACCAGAAAAAAAAAAAAGAACAGAAATTCGGCAAAACCTTTGCTATAACTTGGACAAGTTCTTTGGCAGGTATAACTAAAGTCTTTAATGGAGCCTTGCTAACAAACTCTGCAAAAGCCTTCTCTCCTTGCAGAGTACCATCTTTTATCAAGCGAGCCATCATCAATATGATTCCTGAAAGTGACAAAGTGTTCCACTGTTAAAGAATGAAATTCAACTAATATATATTAATAGCTATTTAGAAAAGAATTATATGAAAACCAAAAACTCAAAAGAAAAAAAAAAATACTAAGCATAAGTACAGTCAAGAAGCGAAATAAGCATGATAGCATATAATACCAAAATCTCTTTCTGCATCTGTTGCATGAAATATTCCAGTGAATATTGATCCATTTTTCACATGGACCTCCACCGTATGACCAATAAGACATGTTGCCAAATACACTAAACGATCGGGGGAAGGACCTCCAACCTTGCCACCAGCTGGAACACCAATACCAAGTAAATATCAGATGAAGAATAATAAAGAAAATGATAAAGAAAAAGTTTAAAGATGTCTCACCTGCATTTGATATTCTTCCTGGGTTGGATTTTCCAAACTGCAACTTATTTTCCAGCCTAACCCCTACATCTCTGTCACCTCCTCTTCGACGACCAAATCCATTAGCATAAGACTTGGGTAGTGGTCCTTGTTGCAAATTCATTTCTCTGTGGACACAACACAACCATATAGAGCTCAGAATCAGGGTTTTCTTTCTCTAATTTATTTATTTATTTATGGAAAAAAGTCAGGAATCAGTTTTAATTTGAAAAAATTACAAAAAAAAGATATAAGAATTCAGAACATTCAACAGACTTGGATGTAAAGTTAAATTCAGAAACTGAACCTATATGAACAAAGAGCTCAGAATAAAATGTTTCAAAATTCAAATCAGAATCGCCAATAACGAAGTCCCCAAAACTCGAATAAAATCCTATGCGTTAAAAATTCATAGAATTACTGAATACTATGATTTCAGTCACTAAAGTCCCAAATTGTGTACAAATGCATCATACAGCTAACCCTAAATACAACAACAACATAGCGTAAGCCTCCTTAAAACCTCTGCATGATGAATAAGAAAACAATAACAACATGAAATTGGAATTGCAGAAACAGAACGAGAGAATACGATCCTTACCTTGGCATGCTTGATTAAACAACAGATAATAGTTTACTAAAGAATCAATAAATGATTGTCCGAGATAAAGAGAAGACGGGAGGATTGGGAATCAGTAAGATAGGGGTAACGAGTGAGGGTTTAATTAGGGTTTGCAGAGGAGGAGAGATCACAACACGAATCGTGAGGTCGGAGAGAGGGAAGGAGAGGACTCAGGTTGTGATCGACGGAGAAAAGTTTGATTTCTCGGAGTGAAAGGAGCAATAGGAATCGGAGAAGAAATCAAATTATAATTAAAGTTTGTGCTGGAGGGGGAGGCGGTATGATTCTACGTGCCCGTGTGTACGGTAAAAAGTCAGATTTTTATTTTAAATAAAATAAAAAGAGAGATTTAAGTTTTTTATATTATTTTATTAAATTATTTAAATAAATTTATAAAGTAAATTGCCTTTTTAATGAATAAGTGAATCAAATTTTCTTTATCTTTTAAGTTAAGAAAGCACATGATAATAAAATAAAAAGAGAGATTTAAGTTTTTTATATTATTTTATTAAATTATTTAAATAAATTTATAAAGTAAATTGCCTTTTTAATGAATAAATTATTTTATAAAATATTTTTTTAATAAAAAAAACTTATGTTTTACTTATTTAGATTGAATAATATTTTTTTAAATTAAAAATATTTAAAAAAATATTTTATGGTCGAGAAATGTCAGATTGAAAAAACTAGAGGCCCTGATAATGACAGTTTTTTCATTAAATGATTAGTGTTTTGTAGTTAAAAAAAGTGTGGGTAAATGGACAAATGAGTATATTCACTTTTTAATAATTCTAAATTTAGGACATAAACGTTTTCCTTTTGAAATTAAGGACACAAACTTGAAATAAATAAACGATCATTAAAGCATGTAATCCAAGTTCTTTATCCTCCTTTTTTTAAAAAATTTGTATGGGAGTTCTTTATCCTCCTATAAGATCTTTTGTGTTTGGGTTTCACTAATTATTGTATCCATTAAATTAAATTCACAGATTTCATTTATTTTAAAAAATTGAATTTGACTTAATTTTAATTTTTGTAGAAAAAAATTGTGAAAGTTGTACAAAACAAGCATTTTTTTTAAGTGCTTCACAAGAAGTAGAGAGAATTTGCAAAACATGACTCCGAACTCTAGGGGCCGGCTCGCTTCACGTCTCAAGTTGGAAAGCTTTGCAAAGTAGATTATGTTGTAGTATGAAATTTATGCTTCTTTTCTTTTTTTCTTTTTTCTTTTTTTTTTTTTATGTTTGCTTGCTTTTTTGGCAAAAAAAAAAAAAATCTTTCTTTGAGCATTATAATCAACTCTATTTTGAATATAGTCGATTATGTGATTTAAAGTAATCAATTATTTTTGCAAGATTTGTAGATATAATTGGTTTGTTATTAAGTAATTAATTACACAAATTAAAATAATCCATTGTTATGATAATACTAGTTTATTATTCAAAAAATAACCAATTTTATGCACTTTTCAAGTTTAAAATGATCAATTAAAAAAATTAATAATTAATTATAAATACTCAAAAACTGAAGAAATTTTTCTTCCTGTGTTTTTAATTATGAAGGAAGAAGAATCTACTGTAATTCGGCCTTAGGCCTGATCCGTATTCCCCTAGAAGCTAAGTTTCTTAGTAAAGTTTGCAACAAAAATATACCAAACACAAAAATCTTTTCTCCATGTTAAACCTGGAGGCATTTCCTGGCATTGTTTAGGGTACCAAACGGCCCCAAAAGGCCAAAAGATTAGCAGTCAATAAATAGCTGCTTCCAGCTTGACAGGGGCCATGAGATATTCCAATTTTAAAGATCTCATAATTTCCTCAATCCTCCTTCGGAACAAAATGCATGGCATGTGTATTTTTGGGCCAATAAAGATTGGGTTTTTTTTTTAATTAAAAAAAAAAAAAGGGAGAGAAGAAACAAATGCAGTATAATCACCAAAAATCTCCTTCATAGATACTATATAATTTGTTGAATGCATTTCAAAAGCAGAGAAAGTAAAACAAACTGTTAATATTATAATCAATTTGAATAACGTTACAGTTTTAATGGTACAAGCGCACAGAATAGATTCTGCAGTGCAGCCTTCTCCCAGCCAATGAAGCGGGCATGAGGGACTCCCAGAGGATCACTTTGCCTGTCCATTTGGAGCTATATCCTGCAGTATATAAGAAGAAAAATATGGGTATTGATATTTCAGCAGAGGGATCAGAGAAACAAAAGATTACGGTATCATCAGCAAACTGCAAAAAGTAATCATCACCGTGTCTGTAGTCCTGGCTGAGTATATAGATTACTTGGATAACAGGCATTTGGTTCCAAGGTTGGTGCGAGGGAAAAGAAATTAGCATCAAAATGGTGATGTTGGTTTTTTGGGATGAAAATGAAGCTCATTGAGCACAAATTTGTCAGCCACAACATAGCAAGGTTTTAAAACTGAGGGGAGAAATGAAAGAGAATAAAAAAGATGCTGGGTAAATTTATGAACTCCTTTGAAATTTAGAGAGGGATGAAGGTACTTACCACTTTAAACTACAATTGCAAGTCAATCTTGTCAGACCATTTGAAGATATCAGAATAAACTTGATCACCTCCCGAATCTTCTCCTGAAGCTCCAGCTGCTACCCTTATAATATCCTCAATTAATGCAAAGTTTCCCATCATATCAACATGAGGACTGCTTTGGGTGCCACATCCCTCCAGCAGATTGGCTGGAGGGGAATGACTGTACTGAGTACTCTCTAATGTATGTCCAAATTCCAGAAGGATTGAATCTGGTTTTGCCACGCCAACCTTTAGCACACATGAAGCCTGAGCTAAGAACAGGAACAGTCTCATCCCCATCCACAGCATAGACTCCATCTCTCAGGCAGCTATTGTCATCATCAGCTGAAGTATCAATATGGAATGGAATATAGCACTCTGCAGCAGGAGATAACTTGTAAACATAAGCTCTTTCTGTTGGTATGCCAACTCCATCGAGAGAAAAGATTTCCATTTCCGGAGCATTTGGTAGCTTGAATAGCAGAGAGACAACGAATGGTTACTTTGAATGAAGAGGTAAAAACAGCAAGGAATGTGTTATGTCAGACAAATTGCATAAGTCATTGACTAAAACAAGTAACTCAACAAAAATGAAAAAAAAAACTTGATCAACAGGAGGCCCATCACAACTGTGAACTTTTGAATAGGAAAGGAAATTTAACAGAATGTGTTCATTAAAACAAAGCCATGTAAAAGTAAAACACTCCATTAATAACTGCAACAAGGAGTTGCTCTCTCAAAGAAACTGTCAGTAGATAAAAGTATGTATGACTTTTCTTTTTGTGACATGGTATAATATTAGTTAACCACAAAAAGATATGAAGCTAATTCTCTTCATACAGTACATAGAATTTGTCATCTAAAAATTATCAATCCTCCATCTGCTGCAAACACCATAGCTATTCAAATACTCCAAAATTTTTCAGAGGATCTACTCTGGCACTGTTTTATACTCTAAATATATATAAATAATCGCAAACTTAACAGATTAAGCTTTATTTACAAATGAAGGCTACGCAGATGCTGACCAATGGATTCAGTTTAAAGATGAGCCTGGCAGAATACGACATATAATTAAGGTTGACAGATTAAATGTTATATCTTTTTGATGTATAAATAAAAAATTAAACAGATTAAGCTTTATATTATAAATTAAGGCTACTCTGATATTTACCTATGGACTAAGTTTAAGGATGAGCTAGCTAGAATGTGATGTATAATTGCAGAAATCGACTGCTACCGATTAAGTGCATTATTATTTTCGGTAAACATCAATATGTCTCACACTAAATTATTTTCTCCCCATGTGGCCATTCTATGGATGAGAAGATAGGAGCTATGCTGATGATAAGAGAATAGACTTATCAGAATGACTAGGGTAAGAGGGGAATAAAGAAGCTAATCCACTTTCATCATTCAAAGGTAACTAGGCAATTGAAACAAAGATAAGTTAGCAAATGTAGCAAGTGTCATGAGTCATTCAAACTTCAAAGCTCAAATGGGAGAGACATAGAAATTAAAAAGACTAGCTAATATAGAAACTAACTTAATTCAACATGAGAGACTTTAAAATGTGAATCTTCAACCAAAAGAAAATATTTTTTTCTCTTAAAAAAAAAAAAAGTCAAAACAAAGTGCATTCATTCATTCCCATAACAACAACCCAGAAGTGAAATTACCCCTGGAACCTCCCAGAAAAGAAAGAGGACTGTGAACTGAAAATTTGTACCCAAATACCCAAACATGTAAATTCCCCCCAAAAAAAAAAGAAAAAAAGAAAAAAAAGCCACCACCGTAAAGATAGAACTTATTTTCCCAAACTTCAAACCCCTTTCAACATCTAAAACGCAAAATCAAATTTCAGCAAACTAAATCCCAAAAATCATCCACGTGAAAAGTATTTCCACTCCATGCATACAGTACAACAGTATTATACGAAGGAATCATATCCAGAAGAAAAAAAAGAGAGAAACCTTCGAAATATGGTAAAGTGCAACAGAAAATAACAAATGGGTATTCTCCTCACCCTCAGCTTGGATTTGTGCATGTCCCCATCATTCTCCACATCCCCACCAACCAGCAAAACGGTCTTTTGCCTTCAAAGCTTGCTGCTTTTTTTCTGGGTTTTCGTCAGAAGCTCTTGATACAGAAGCTACAAACTGCCGGAAGTCATAATTCCTATCTCCAACCCACCCCACCACAAGGCGACAACCATTACCACACGGTCACACCAAAATCACAAATCCTGACGTTTGGATAAGCCAAGAAATAGAAACTAAGAACAAGACTACAGGAAGATAATTATCTGTGAGAAAGCCAGCAATCGAAACCATCCTTCAATTGAGCACTCAAAATTCAAGGGTCCATTCCACCTCCCAAGAGACTGAGATGCACTCGAAGCTGCAATAGAGAGGGATTCGACTGCAACTTCAAGGAGACAGCTCTTCCCATCACCAGACCACGAGGACAAACAGATTTACCATAAATAAAGAGACATGGAGCTTCGATTCGGTTGAAAGGCAAGCAAAATTGCTTGCAGTGGGTATTTAGGGATAGGGACTCCTTTGAAGAAAACAGTGAGAATTTAAAAAAAAAAAAAAAAAAAAGGATAAAACAAAATTTCAAATACAGAAAGCAGAATGATATTATACGGGATTAACAAAACCTCATCGCAAAGGTAAAGAGGAGAGCAGAAAGCCGGAAAAGTGAGCAGACAGCCGGAATTTCAACTTCTCCGGGGACGCTTGATTCACTTAATTAATTAAACTGGTTATTAACATGATCATATCAAAGTAGGTGGTCTTTCTGTTCAACAGGTGGAGGCCAGCTGCGGGCACTTCTTGAGTTGATTATTCTACTACTTTATTATCTAAACTTGATTATCATAAAAAGATATACACTAATTATCATCATTATACTCTCCGCAACCTGCAGCAAAAACTATAAATAATATATATATACCAAAATTCAAGTTTTTTATTTCTGAAACATATAATTTAATAACATAAAAAAACAAAAAAAAAACACACACGCACACACACTCACATAATTTAACGGCAGTCAATTCCCAAAAAAGAAACTCCGATAATTATAAGTCGGCCTTTTTTATTTATTTAACAGGAAAGTAGAATTCAAGTCTTACACATGACATGACAATACCCTTACAACGGAGTGCGTGGCCACTGGACCACTCAACTGACTGGGCTTATTTCACCAAAAAAAAAAAAAAAGAAAATATTTCTAAATAAGAGCCAGAAACCCGATTCTGCCACGCGGCGACAGCAGGGCATGGATAGACCCAAATTCCCAAACCTGAACACGGTGACAAGCGAAGAAATTGGAATCAAGTCGAAAACAAACAGAGAACTAAAAAAATGACAATGAATAACAAATTGTTACAAAGAAACATGAAACATACCAATCCACTTCATCAAAACTCCGAGTCCATGGGCGGTAG